AATCCCTCATGCTTCTGGCTTTTTCTTGAAGACATAATTATTTTTGAACAAGCTGCTGTTGCACTCTATATATTTCAGAATATTTGTTATATTTCTGTACCTTTGTGGTCTTGCCTTTGTTCATTTGGCCATGCTAGCTGAGAATTCTAGTGCTAAGTCATTTGAAAAAGTCCTTTTTTATATGCCAAAGGAGTAACCATATTTAGCAAAATCACTCTGTACGGGGAAAGGCAGTCCCTCCTCTGTTTAGAGAACAACGTGCATTATCATTCTCTGTGTCCTTTCCTTATATACACTGGGGCCTCTAGGAGGGATAGGATTTCAAGACATACTGCTTTGGGGTAGGAGACGGTCCCCACCCCAATCATCATCAGCTGGAGGTAGTTCAGTTTTGAAAGTTCTTGTGTCTGACCATAAGAACAGCTCTGGGTTAACTTGTTGAGACTGAACCGAATAATAAGATTGAATAAATAATAATTTAAAAATTGAAAAAAGCCATCAGAGAATGAGCTTAGATATATCGATAGTCACTGGTCATTAAGGAGCTGTACTCCTTCCTAGTCACTCCATTTAACAAAATTCAACTTTAGACATGAAGATCTACAAACTTGGTCTTCATCAAACTGGCAGCTGAATAAGGTGGTCCAAAAGATATAAAGATGGAAATATGTGAGATATAAAAGTTCTGGGGGAAAACTGAATTTTTGATTTTACAAGGATTTCAACAAGCATGGGGGTTTGTTGCACAAATCTATCTCTTTCAATGAACACAAACAGTAGAAACAGCTGGAACAGCTGGAACTTCCAAAAGATAAAGACTTATCACAACTGCCACTTCCCAGCATTTCCTTTTGCTATTGCCAGCCTCTGTTGGCAGACAGCCATATTTTGGAGAAGAAGGAGCTGGCTGTGAACCATTTAGCTTGTTAGGACCCTCTCTGATCTGAACTATACTTAAGTCAGGTCACTTTGCACATTCTCTCCAATCCCACTCAGGGACTAGAATTTGTAGAAGGTTGGTTTGGGTTTTTTTTTATTTTATTCTGTTAATTTTTATTTGGCATGTATTATATCTAGATTCGTTTTATTATACATAAAATTAATGCTAATTTAGTTTTCATAAGCTAACATTTATTGGGATTTGATCTGGATATATAACCCATTGTCGAAAAGTCAACACAGTACTTGAATTAAATGTTTACTCTTCTTCCTATACAGAATGTGGCCAATTCCAATCTAAAAGCCACTTGAAGGAAAAAATCCAGCATCTATACCATCTGTATGTATATCTGTATCTGTATCTACATCTGTATCTACATCTACATCTGAGTTTTGATGCTCTCAGTCTGATCCTATGGACAAAAGTACGAATGACTGCTACAGTGCAGCAATGTGGTCATCCATATTTTTGCATCTCAGATGTGTTAGCCTGACAGAAGGTCTCCTGTTTCACTCAGCTAAGTCATAACAAAGTTTAAGTACAGTAATTCCATGCCTCCTTAAGGCAATGGAGGAAAATACTGACTTTGATACCCATACCCATACCAGAAATTAATTTTAGTGAGTCTGCCAATTACCAGCCAGCCATATGCTTCACGTTCATGAGAATTTGCTGCATGTCTCTCAGAAAAACATACAGAAGTATCTCCTGCTCCCTTCCCTACAGTGATGCCTCCCTTGAATTTTTGATATCAACTCTGAACTCTTAGATGGCAAGTAGTCTATAAAATACTAGCTCCAAGAAAGTGGGTATTGTGTGCAAGGAACAAAGTGCCTACTCAGATCTTTGAAACAAGCTGCATTTATCTGCATACCACTAAAGGCCCAGATTTCTTTCCCTTAGAAAGCCACTTATCAGAATGCCTTACGGAACATTTGAAGGCAAAATATGTGCCAGTTTTGCGCAGATTGGCAAAAGGAGGGGTAAGAATCAGCTTCAGGTACATGGTAAAAATATCAGTACAAATTCATTATTTAGAGAGGGTTCAGTTAATCAAACCTCAACTTTTTTTCTGCCTTGAATAGCTTATGCCCTAGGGGAATTCTTATTTGCTTAAGCAACACTGAGATGGCTGAATTTGTCTTGGCATGTGGATTACTTCTAATTTCTCTCTAGTAAGTCAAACTAAAGAGGCTTTGAAACCCTGTACTTTCCAATTTAATGAATGAAATACATAATCACAAGAGACATGAGAGAGCATAAAAGAGGGCTTCCACACACAAATAAGTAAATAAAAATAGAGTTCTCATGAGGGACCTAAATGCAGCTCCTCTGGTCCCAAATGGAATTAACTCCATTGGTGATACCTTGACCAGATGACACACAACCTGGTTCTCAATGTAGTTACTAAGAATTGTCACTGGGTTCAAGAGGAGTTCCTCCTAGGCAAAGTACACATGGCATTGCAGCCTTTACAGTACACACATGCAAATGTTTTGTGCCTGGTGGGCATACTTTTAAAAAACAAGCAGACTTCATGGGCTACAGGAGGCGTGGTAGTGATTTGGTGACATTATTGGAGGGGAAGGACCAATCTTTGTATTTCAAGTTTGAGGAAAGTGAATTTAAAAAGTGGAGTTAAAAAAAGGTGGATTTCTTTTGGCTAAAGACATTG